CGTCGCTCTGAGCTGTAGCAATGTGATGAGAATGGCAACTGCAACGTTGAGAGTGATCATGCACAAGATCATTGATAGTGACCGATTCCAGGACTCAAGACAACACCAGACGTAGCAATAAGAATAATTTCGAAACTGCAGCGGCATTGGAACCTGTTGTAACCTGAGACGGCGAGCCGGACTGTGGGGTGAAATTCAGAAATCTGCAGAGCATGATTTTTCAACTCGGTGAAAGTCTTGGAAAACTCATGGAATTCAGCAAACTTGAAATGGAACCAACCAAGTAATCGTGCTTTCTTGACAGCTGACACCGCTACTGCCTGCCAAAAAAGTGCCCGCAGAAAGGCCTAAAACAGAACGCCTGGAAAGTGAACACAACAGAAACAGCGTCCATCATGCTGAGAAATGACCGAGATGACTCCACAACCCGCGCTTGTTCACTATGATCCCCACATCTTACCACCCTGCACCCATCCCAAAACCTGAAGACTATGTCCCTGTCAGGAAGCGAACTTGGGACCGCACCGAAGCTCTCGGGGCGTCATTGCCTGTAGCAGCCGACCTCTGCAGTGAAGGAACAGAAGGCACTCGGGAAAGTCCATGTGCGGGCTCAAACTGTTCATAAGTTTTCGGGCCTAGTGAAATCTATGGGAAGGGCTAAGGCTTCCAGAATCAACGCATGAAGCCACGCCAAAACGGCATGCATATGAGAAAGCCAATAGAAGTTGGAACTCGTCAACACAGCGCGTTCAGTGCATAGCCCCTACTGGCTGTACTTGGGTAGGACTGTATTCGAGATTCACCGTTTGGCAGCCTGCACTACACTCTGTCGTTTTACACAGCTTCGCAACCTCTGACCTGCAACCAAGTTTGTAGAAAAGCCTCTATCTTAAGGTTGTGGCGACTAAACACTTCCCAGTCACATTCAAATTCATTGTACCTCGGGGCTTTCGGGCTTTGGAAGCAGCTAGAGACTAGGGCGGAGGCAATCTTGCACTGCAGTGTATACGCTATAATGTAGAAGCTCACTATGTTTGCTGAATTCTAAGTCATGCGTTGGATATGGTGGGATATGAATGGGGCCTTACATATGCATATCATAAACAGTATCTAGATGTATATCTACATATAAATCATGTAAATATGAGGGCATCCTCCGCTGTACTTTTGTACCTTCTAGGGGTCCCTTGAACCACAGGGAAACAATAGTACTGCTTCAAAACCGAGATCCAGATACTAAACCCTAATACCCTTAAACCATAAACCCCATTTAATCATAGAACCATTGAACCATTGAACCATCAAACCATTAAAGCATTAAACCACACACCATTAAACCATTGATCCGGGCCCATGTAGGAGGAGCATTTGTTTTACGGTTTAATGGGATTCCATGGGAAAACCCACTGTTAAAGGTGTAGAAGTCTAAGGGTTACTATCTGAACCTTTGTTTCAAAGCAGTACTGTTGCTTAGGTTTCGGCCTTGCAAGGCCACGAAATGCGGGGACACCCTCCCGCTCGTACATATACATATACATATACATATACATATATATATATACATATAAAAACTCTGCTGCCCAACTAGCTACCCTGACCACCCTCAGTTCAGCATTTACGGGTCTGGAGATTCAGGGTTTGGGCTTTGGGGTCTGGGCTTTCTGCACCGTCCCATGTAATGATTACAAGGGGGTGGGGTAGCTTTCCAAACTTCTTCAGTTCTCTATATTTCAAAATTCCATTTAGTTCGCGCTCACACTTCTCCATGCTCCCGTAAGATTCCTAAAATACTGAACTCCTCTAGTGGTTGTTCAGGATCCTGCATCCATGTCCTCCCCTCATAATCCTCATGTGGGAGTTTCACCCTGACACCCGCCCTACGTTACAATCCTTACTCTGGGAACCCTCCGAGAAACACACTTTTGGAAACCCCAAACCCTAGATAGCCCTATATGAATGAGCCATATACAACGCTCGTACGTCCTTATATAAACCTCCTATATCTCTATATAACCCCTAGTGCCCGCTAAAGTGACCCCCATCCCGGTAACTTATCCTGAGCCATCCTGGACACCAATGTTTTGCTTGTCGCAAGCACACGGACTTCTTTGTGGGCTATTTCTGGTTGGGATTCGATGAGCCCTAACAAGAATCGACAACAGGTGGGTCGGAAACACGGAGAACATGAACTTGAGACTGATGATAGAAAACTCACTCACGCAATGTGTCCTCGGAAATACGATTAGTGACTGTTCCGGCTCTTGCAGGATGTCCCTGCCATCGTTACAAAACCCTGCATAACGCTAGCACCCTAAAATGTCACCGTTTAGGAATCTCCCCCCAGCCTTTGAGCTGCCACGGGTATGCACAAGTAGGGGGCGGGGGAGTGTTGAACTGCTAAGGGCAAAGTATTCAGGCTGTCGTGCTGCAGATCTGAGCCTTGGACGAAGCACAGCCCATGCCACAAAGGTACCTGATACGTTCACAAAAGAAGGAAAATGAAGGCCTACTTTGAGTAAAGGGTGCAGGGCTTGAAGGATTTCAACTTGAGGGACTCAGGTTAGTGGAAATTGGATGAGGGGTTCAAAGTTTCGGGTTAGACGAGGTTCAAGGGATTCCTGTCAAGGCTTGCAATGATGCTTTATGTTTGCGAAGGCTCTCTGTGAGCGTACGTTGAGGGATCCGGCCCGAACCGAGTATTCGAGTTGATAAACATGCTTGCTAATGCTTGCTGGACGCTACTTGCTTGCTGGACGCTACTTGGCTGTATGTGGGTCCAGGGTGCGAGTCGCACAGATAACCGTCCAGAATCCCAAGCCGAGCATGTACCTTGAAGCTGTAAAGGTCCAAACGTCCAACCTCCAAATCCTCAACCCAAAACCTGACTGCATACTCTCAACGGTACTGTAACGCTTTGAAGCTTAACCGACAGTGGACGCACTTGATCGTGATGAATCGCTCTCCTGCAGAATCCAAGAAAAGAGCATAGATCTTTCTTAGCAGCAGTAATCAGAAGCTTGTGATTACTGGCGGTGCAATTTGTAGGCGTGGCATTTTTGTGGGTGTTATCCGCCGACCTTGGAGTGTTGGATGCTTTCAGTAGATGGAGAGTGTCAAAACCCTCTTCTTTACTCCCTTACACCAAAAAACGCAGGAAGATTCCGGATGCAGGAAGGGTGGGGGGGTATCCCGGCTGCGTTTCCGTGGAGGTTCCCACCTCTGAGGTAGCCGTCTCAGCCGCCTCCCACCCCTTCGCCAAGCTCCTTCAGGAGATTTTTCAGCAACAATTAAAAATTTGAGGTTTTGGTCGGGGCCCCAAGCCTCTGGGGCCCGGGCCTCAACATTTCTTAGGCATGGCACAAAGTTGCCGAATTTGGGCAGCCTAGCTTGAACTCCCTAAGCTAGGCTCATGAAGGCCTGGACAAATGGAATGCAGTGTTGGTCCTGACACGGTGACGGCAACCTGGCTTGTTGCGCCGATTGAGTCCCGGCAGCCTAGTTTGAACTAATCTTGTTGCGTCGAAACATCAAGGTTCAGGGTTTAGGTTTTAGCTGTCGCGACTTCTCCGCGCATAACTGGCGCTTGGGGGCCCAACCCCCAAGCCCCTAGGTTGAGCATGCTCATCAGGGTGCCCACCCA